CGCGGGAGAGGCGCGGCCACGTGAGAGAGGGCGCGGGGGAGCAGAGCTGATCACACGGCAGGGCGCGAACACTCGGTACTGAAATACCGAAATACCGGGATACTGAAATACCGCCGTAGCCTCTGTAATAACCAGCTGCTCCATGCTCGTGAGACCTGCCGCTGCAGTACAGCGCCCAGATCTGGGGCTGCAGCACAGGCACAACATGGAGCTGGTGCAGCGAGGCCAAAGGACACCAAGATGAACGGAGCTGGAGCACCTCCCCTCGGGAGACAGGCTGGGAGAGTTGGGGTTCAGCCCGGAGAAGGGTTTGTGGAGACGTGAGAGCACCTTCTAGTACTGAAAGGGGCTCTAAGAGAGCTGGAGAGGGAATGTTTGCAAGGGCATAAAGGGATAGGACAAGGGAGAATGGCTTTAAGCTAAAGGAGGGAAGGGTTAGGTTAAATATAAGGAAGAAATTCTTTAAGGCTCAGGCATAGGTTGCCCATAGAAGCTGTGGGTGCTCCATCCCTGGAAATACTCAAGAACAGGGTGGATGGGCTTTGTGCTACCTGGTCAAGTGGAAGGTGTTGCAGCCCTTGTCAGAGGGCTTAAAACAAGATGTTCTTTAAGGTCCCTTCCAACCCAGGCCATTCTATACTCTCTGATTCTGTGGAGATAGGGTTTATCCTTACTGGCCTAAGATAAGAGAGGTGCTTAGGTGAGAGCACAGAAGAGGTCCTACGCTCTGCTCTCCTCAGAAATGTGCTAAGGCACAATGTGAATGTCACAGCTCATGGCTCTTGTCAGGCAGCCAAGTGCTGGCTGGTCCTGGGGACAGCTCATCCCCTGCACCAAGGCCCTGCAGCACTGCCAGAGCACAGGCCCAAACCAGCGGTAAGGTAGGACAGCGAGACATCGCTCCTTGGACCTTTGTGTGTAACAAAGGTGACACTTCAGCTCCTGAAATCTGTTCCAACAGATGCAGGCTGCTCTCAAGCTGCAAGAAAAATGTCAGGTTCCAGGTTGCAAGTTCATGGAGGTTTCCTTAACCTGTTGAAGATGACATCACCCAAGCTCAACAACCCGACTGACACACTGACTGCTGCGTGTTTTCAAGCCCTTTATTGCTGTGGTGGGTTTAGCTACACTTGGCAAAAGAAACCAGCACTAACATATGCTTTTAATGGTATCATCACTCCAGTAGTACAAAAACATCTATGGTAATATTATCAAAATTACTGTGACATTACTTCAACTCAGGAATTGCTTCCTTCAAAAAACTCTGAATTCTGAGAAAACTCAGTAATTTCCTGTGGAATTAGACAAAAAAATGGAGCCTACTCAGAGTAGAACATGTTGATATGAGCCTACATTCAAGTCACATGGTTTTGAAACTGGGCTCAATCTATAATAAGAATGCTTTGAACTTCAATCTTTTTTTAAAAGTGTAGCAAAAAATGGAATCTATTTACATGGCAATTTCTTCAGATAAATGGAAGCAGTAAAGGTTTTTCTTGTGGGTTTTCTCTTTTGGGAGTTTTTGTAACGTTTCTCTACCAGCAGCACTAATTGCTACAATAGAGTACCTGAGTTGTATTTCAAAAGAAAACAACATTTTAAAGGCCGTTTTTAGCAGTCATAAATGCAGATACAGAGTTTATCCTCAGCTTACTGTGCTGTGGCACAGAGGACAGGCGTTATAATGGCCTGCTTCTTTGGCTTTCATACAATGCTTACACACACTGCACATCCAGAATCGATACTCCAGGATAGGGGCTCCAGTTGCAACACACACAGGAGGTTTACCATCTTCACTATAAAAAAAGAAAAAAGAGTAAAGCTGAAAGAATAAAAATGTGGTGTGCCAGTTGCTGATTAGAAGTTATTAGCTCATGTAACACTTCATTGTTCATGTAACCAAGTATAAAAATCTTCACACCAGAGAATACCCACCCCCAGAATCATAAAGTCAACAAATCAGGAGAAGCAGAACCAAAAGATGGGGTGAAAAGAAGCAGTGAAGGCCATATAAAGGTAAGGCCTGATTAGACACCTGCACTGCTATTACACTCCTTCCTCTGAAGCCTGAAGGGTCAACTTTACAGCTGCTACTAAGATTCCATACAGCTGCACAGTAGGATCAATCAAGACAGGTTAAACTTCTGTTTGCTAAAAGAAAATTGATTCATAACTGATTTCCATATTTATAAGTTCCATGCTCTTAGCAGGAAGCATGTCAAACACACATGTGGATACAGCCACTCCAAGGACTGACCCCTTAAATGTGCCATTCATGCTAATTTTAACTTCGCACCAAATAGATTTAAGTAATTCACAGAACACTGGAGACCTGTTAGCTAATAAAGGTTGAACAGTCCCTTGTCAATACTTTGATCACCTCACCATGGTGATGCAAACAGTAACACTCCTACTCTAATGTCACATGACACCATCTCAAAGGTCCTAAAACTCCTGTGCTTTGTCTACCTACATTTCAAATTAAGATGAAGTTACATCTTTATGCCCAATTCCTCGAATGGAGTCAGTGTCTCTTTTCCCAAACAACATAGTGCTGTATTACCTTCCTCCAAACTCGCTAACTCCTGCCTCATTCTTGCCCAATATTTGGTTTAAGCAGCAAAGAACTTAATTAGTTTGGTCACACACAAATCCTGCTAAAACCCAAAATGCAACCAACAGCAGAAAAAAGTGACAGTATTCTTATACTATCATATAAAAATAAACCCACCTCTCAAGAACATCATCCAGATCAGATTTTTTGTTATGCTTTGGTCTGTATCTTGTGAATATCTCTAGAGCAAGGTCTTCATACTGTTGCCTCTGCTCTGGCTTAAGAGTTTCCAAGGATTCTAATTTAACAAAGGCTTTTGAACACGTATCAAATGCTCTGTTTGCACATGCACAGAGTGCCAAAAGGGAATATATT